TGATTGGATGAGTCGGAATTGATTTGGTTCGGAAGTTTGTACAATAATTTGTCCGTTTGACGAGGATTTAGCTGTCAGTAAGGAAGGGGTCAGATGAGGGAGCTTGTAGATTGTGGGCGCAATCTTGCGCCAGGAACTAGAGCTTAGGATAATGGGAGGAGGTCKGATCTTTGGTTGAGCAGTCGGAGGTTGAGTGGTTGTTGGGATGGTAGTGGCTGGAGTAATGGTTGGAGGGGTGTCAGAACGTATGGAAGAAGTGTAGCTGGAGTCTAAAGTTTCGGAGTCGGAAGTTTTAGATGGTGATGGTGACGGTGGAGAGGAACGCTGGCGGGGGAGCTTTTGGGCCTGAGGTGGGTGATAGGTGGAGCTACCACCTTTACGCTTCCGCGGCTTGTTGCCGGTCATGCTTTAAGGGGTAGTGAAAAAACCTGTCGTTCTGAAAAGAACGTTTTATTGTGGGGGAGGGGGTGATGAGTTTGTTGGGTAGGGAAGTTCTGCAGCAGTGTGAGGGCGCGGCCCCACGACAGTTGGCGGAAGGAGAGTGCCGGCGCTTTCGCGACGGATTACCTGAACTTCAGGCGCTGATGCCTCGACGGCGTGGGCGCTGGTGCCCTGTTGGCTGCAAGCCGTTAAAACGGCTGATTTTCGGTGTAAGTACCGAAGCTGATAAACGGCACTGATATTTCGAAGATCGTCGCTGTTGCACTGTTGAGTCGTTAAAACGACTGTTTTGGTTGGCTTGGACAACCCGGGCGCTGTTGCCCTGTTGATGGCGCTGTTGCCTGTTGGAGAGTCGTAAAAACGACTGTTTTATTGGCGCTGTTGCCTGTTGAGGTGGTGGTTGCGTTCAACGAAGAGCCGGGAGTACTGGATTGATGTACTTGTTGCTGCTTCGAATGTTGAACGTTGAGTGAATGATGTATGATGATGATGACTGTTAATTCCATACTTAGCCGGCTTACTTGGTATATACATTTTAAATGGGCAACGACCACGAAACGCTACTAGTGTCTCATCGATAGTGCCGAACTCTCCAATGCTGTAGTTCTGTTTACAATTGTTTATAAATAAATCAAAAACTTCTCTAAAAGGTGCAAATTTATCAGTCATTTTTCTCTGTATTCTAGTATCAAGATCATCAAACCTAATGCAGCGAATCAAAAATCTAAACCGTTGCAGTGACATAGTTGCCCAAAAAATTTCGACACCTGTCCCATCTCTTTCCCAAAATTCATCCAAATTTAGTCTTCCACCATGCAAGACGCCAGCCATAAAAAGCAAACCAATAAAACCTTTTAACTCAATAATATTTGTACATTTTACATACCAGATATTACTGTAATTACCAGCAACTTTATTTATAAATATATTAGTACAAGTAACAATGTGTTCTAATATATCATTATTTATAAACAATGACCATGTTTCTAATTCACTTAGCGYATTTTTCGCAATCGGTTTTACGCTGGGTAGGTGCGTTATAATGTTATGTGAACGAGTTCTTACTTGAATATTTGATTTTTGTTTTTTCCATTTGGTTTTTTGGTCTTTACCCGTAAAATATTTTCGTCTATACCCCAAAGAATTTGTTTCATTTTCTACTGTTTYGGCCATTTCGTTTTCAATGTTATCATCATTATGAGGAGATTCGGAGGGGTCGCAGTCTTCTTCGGAGTCTGTATTGTGGTCACTGTCTATTTGAAAATCTGGATCTACATTTTTATCGTCACATTCATCACCAAAATCAAAGTCAACCATAGGTTCCCAGTGGCGTAATTACATGGTTGCATAGGTGTGCATTGCACTGGGGC